TAGCATCATGTTGAAGAGCCTGGGACTTGGGAGCTCTGTGACCTAGCGCTGGTGACTTAAGCTCTCTGTAAAACAGGACCAGCAATACTCTCTCCCATTTGGGGCTGCATAAACGAACAGAGGCTGAAGTGCTCAGAGTAGTACTTGGCACATTGTATGTGTCATATGCATGTTGGGCAGTATCATTATTCAACTGCTTTATCCCATTTAGAAGTCAGTCAGACTTTCCAATCAAGCCCTGCTAAAAGGTTTCTAATCTGGTTTAAAGGACAGAAATTCACATTGTGAATATATTATTACAGAAATCCTTTTCTAATCTAATCCTCTTTACTATAATTTTCAATAGAAAATCACTCCTACAAAGGCCTTTGAGTATAAAATGAGGCCAAGAGAGGTATTTGTGTCACAAAGACCAAGAACAGCTAACTCAGGGGAGCACAGGGAGACTGTCCCGGAAAGCCCTCTGGCCTTCATAGCTCAGAAGTCACCTGCCCAGGTCCTCTCTGGACTCTTCTAGACATGCTTTCCCTGAACCAAACCCCTTCACACTCCTGGCTCTGTGACCCTCAACTCATTCCCCTGTGAGCCCCATAATACGACAGTACACAGACCCAGCAGAATCCTTCTGGTGGGAGGGAGCCAGCATTTGCTGTGCCCCTGTAAACCTGGAACCTCCCCAGAGTCTGTCCCGCCCTCACTATGTGTTCAGCTCCTTGTTCTAGATGCATGAGCTGAAACTGGCAAGCCCTGCCAGCCACTGGGGGTTCTATGGGCCACCTCAGGGGACAGGGCCTTGGAAGATGCCTTTTATGTGGATTTAAGAAACAGAAGTCACATTCATGTTTTTAAAAATGACCCCAAGGAGTACACCAACAAATGCAGGTTTTACCTGAGGCAGGCAAAGTGAATGTGTGCTTAGAAAGGGAGTTTTCTTGCTGTAGCACTGGAAAACAATTTGGTTCCACTCAGCTTGACCACAAACACCTGCCAACTCAAAGGCATTAATATAACTGTGTCACGAGTTATACAGGGAAATTTATTGTGCAAATCATATAATACCCTGCAACCATTTTGGAATATGTAATAACTGTTCCTTTGGGTGAAACAATGAATTACATTGCGATTATTGGGCTTAACTCATTATTTTACCCTGAGGAAAAATTCCGAAACAGTGATTATGAATTATGACCATGAGTTGCTACAACATTTTCCAATTTAAAACCAACAGTGTGGTATTTCTTTCTCTTCATTTTCAGAGTTCAGCCTTTTAAATAAGATCTGGGTTGGTCAGACGGTAAGATACGGTACTTAGCTGTTATTCCCAATTAAGAAAGTGGGTAACTGGACATGAGGTAGCCTGTCACAGAAGCACTGACCGTTCCAGGCTTCTGGAGTAACAGTCCAAGGTAGGAAGTCCCACTGATAGGATGCTTCAGTCGCTGACACTACCACACTGGAATCACCAGTGTGACCGGGAGTGGCCGCTGGTATGTCTTAAGACGATTTGGGACAGTGGAATGAAACGGAAGCATGCTGCACCGACCTCATTGTGAAAAGAAGAGCCGTACTCTGACATAGCAGGACATGTGCTGCGCATGTGCAGGACATGCGACAGTGCCGACATGGCAGTGTCTTTCTGGTGGGAGGGAGCCACCATTTTCTCTGCCCCACCCTCCACTGGGTGCTCTTACAGATGCTACTGCACCAAGCACTTGAGACAATTCTGTGCAGCATTGATTCTGAAGAGAGCAGTGATGCAGTGATTTTTGCCTCTGCTTATAAAGCTAGTAAGTGGTATAAATTCATGGCCAACTCTGTCTAGTCCCAAAGCCCATGTTCTTTCATCATCCCACCGTGGGATGGGAGCATGAAGTGTTACGGATATCCTCACTGCCAGCCTTCCTCTGGTCCACCTTTCACACACCTGCAGGCTGCTAAGTCACACATCTGCAAAGGTTAACACACTTACCTCACCACTGCCTCGCAGAGAAAGGCCAAAATCCTCAAACAACCCACTCTATTGTTATTCTAGCTATCTCCTTTATGAAGAGTCGTGGAGTGCATTAAAAAGAAAAAGAAAAAGCCCAACACAGAAGGTAAACTCTACTTAAATACAAATGTATTCTTTCTTAACGAAGAGACAGAGCTATACACATTTTTTTCTCTAGCAAAGAAATGAGGCAATGGTATAATATTTGGGGAAATGACTCATTTCCACTAATAAAAGGATTTCCTATAAACTGATGTAAACCTAAGAGGTTTTTAAGACACTTCTGCTCCTATTTGGCTGTAAGATGGGAGTAGGACCCAATCCCCCTGTATGTCCCTTTGTTGGCTTCTCCGCTCAGCCTCCCCCCAGTGGAGTGTACCCCAGGGTGTGTCCATGAGCCCTTCTCCTTTCTCCCTGTCCGTCTGGTCTCTGGAGAGACTCCAAGGTGATGATTTTGGGAAACCACTCATCTGGGTGGATAAATCTGTGTGAAACAGTATTGTATCTGAGAAGCATATTAAAATAGTCTGAGCTCCAGCTGCCATCCTGCATGCCCTGACCCTGCTGCATGCACACCACAGTCTGTCCCTGCCGATGGCACTCGGGCAGCTGTGATCCAGGAACTGCCCAAGCTCTTCTACCCTATGCAGGGAGAGTCTGTTCTGCCTCTTTGTACAACCTGTCTGTCACTCTGAAGGGGAAAGGAAGGGGGAACAGAATTTTTCAAGCAGCCTGTGTGTCTGGCTCTGTGTTGCACACACCTCATGGGCCAACTCACTCAGACATTAGACCCACCTGTGAGGTGGCCATTATTTGCCCATTTCACAGATGAGGGAGCAGAGGCCCAGAGCAGTGAGAGGGCCCGGGGCTGCAATGTTAAGGCTGGGTGTGGACGCCAGTCAGATGATGCACTTGTTCCTACTAGGCTGTGCTGCCCTTGGCTTTTTTGTTCATGCCATTTTTAGGAAATAGATTTGGTTTCAGTCTTATTTCAGGCATGGAGAAGAAACAGAAAGTCCAGAGAGCAAGAGGATGCTGAGCCAGTCCTCTGCCGTTGGCAGCCAATGCTCACAGAGTGATGGCGTGTGGACCTGGCCGTCCCTGGAGGTCCCCAGCCTTCACAACTATGCTTACAATGATACTTCGGGGGGCTGGTGTGGCTGTTCTGACTCCTCTGCCTGGCTGGCCTGTGCCACTGTGCCAAACTATTCCTGTGCAGCAACACTCACCTAGACCACCAGCATCAACTGGGAAAAAAAAGTGCAGAGTTGGAGCCAGAGCTTGGCTCTGCTGCTCTACTGGTTCTGTGACGTTGGGTGGGGCTTTAGAGTTTTTGTGTCTCATTTTCTTCAACTGTGTAATAGTGATAACCCCTACTTGACTGGATTGCCATGAGGATTCAACAGGACAATACACGTAAAAGGCTTGGCATATAGAAGGCATTCATAAGTATTCATAATACTGGTAATAACCGAACACTAGAACATTCTAATAGTTATTACTGATGATTCTGTTTTACTATTGAAAACACTGTTCTGGGCTCTAGGAATATAGTGAGGAAAACAAAGTAAGATTCTGCTCTCACAGAGCCCGTGCTCTAGTGGGGATATGCGGGGAATCAAGTGGGGTCACAGCACTCAGTATCTCGGAGCTGCTGCAGGTCGAGGCGCCAGGCCTCTCTGGGGAAAAAACACCTGAGACCTGTAAGACATGCCAGGAGTGGACAGAGAACACTTGAAATTTCAGGTGGCATAGCCAGCAACACAAATGCCTCAGTCTGAGAGGCTCAAGGCCGGGGAAAAGAGTGGACCCTGTTCTTCCTTGACAGAGCTATGTCTTCAGATTCCACTTCTTACCTTCTTGAGGGCTGGATATCTAATTTTGCCAATGTTAAAATGAGATGCTAGGCCGGGCCCAGTGGCTCATGTCGGTAATCCCAGCACTTTGGGAGGCTGACATGAGTGGATCACAAGGTCAGGAGATCGAGACCATCCTGGCCAACATGGTGAAATCCTGTCTCTACTAAAAATACAAAAATTAGCCGGGCACGGTGGTGCGTGCCTATAATCCCAGCTACTCACGAGGCTGAGGCAGGAGAATCATTTGAACTCGGGAAGTGGAGGTTGCAGTGAGCCAAGATTGTGCCACTGTATTCCAGCCTGGCAACAGAGCAAGACTCTGTCTCAAAAAAAAAAAAAAAGAGATGCTAATGTTCTACCACTTCTTGGTGCAATTACTAAGAGTATCATGGACAAAATGAGTGTCAGAAAGTTCTGACCACTGCAAACTGCTGCACACTTAAGATGCTGTCACTTGCCAGGCAGAGCCACCGAAAGCACACTGTGTAGTAGCCACATTCCCCACGCTTTAGGCAGAGGACAGTGTCACATCCTAGTAGCTCTCGATGACATCTGCTCCCATACACAGGTAGCATATTCCATTTGGCTTCTGTCACACCAGTATCCAGATGAACTGCACATAGACACTGCTGCACATGAGCTGGCAGGGGCTTGCCAGACCTATCGGTTTCCTTTTGAAACCCAACCAGACATGACAGACTGTAGCAGCTGGAAACTAGAGGACAGGTAACTAAAAGGAGGTGATATCAGTAGCTAAGGTGTTACTCTTTTCACTTTTCCATCATTACCTGTACTTTTCTTATATTATCATAGCACTAGCAATTCAAACAATTAAAACACATCATAGTGGCATTTATAAAATACCCATTTAGTCTGGAAGACGATTTTACTGTTGTTGAAAAGACATCTATTATTAGTAAAATTCTTCCAAGGCAAAATTTCTTCTTTATGCTACAGCAAATTTAAAGCATATGAAAAGTACACTAAGAATTAGGAAATCAAATGGGAAAATGCACATAAAATATACATCTATAATTTTTAAAACTCAGTATAAAAATCAGGGCAAGGGCAATGAGGATGAGCTTCTCCTCAATGGAACAGTCTTATGAAAACCAGTTAAAAAGAACTGATTAGGCAGAGAATAGCATTACCATTTGTATTTCTTCTGGGGATAACTCATCTTCACCTTTGCCGTCTCCCCAGGTTCCCAGTTCAGGTTGTGTTTCAGCCAAAATCTTTTCTGTTAAAAAAAATTGAAAATAGATAGAAGACCAAGTATTCATTTTAGAAGAGGTTGGCTTAGGATGTAGTTGTAACAAACATGAGATGGAACAGAACCTTACAGCTTTGTCCATACATTTCACGATCTTTGGGCTAATATTCAGGCACAGCAGAAATGATTCTTTCAAATTCAGGCTTTCCATTGTCCTTGGGTAGGCACGTGCATGTGTGTGTGATGGGGAGGGGGACCTATACGCGGTTTCAATATCGCACAGATGTCAGCAATGGCTGCATACTTAATGGACATTCTTTAAAATAAGTCGTAAAGTGTTTTACTTCAAGACACATACACCCCAAATCTACTTTTAAAGACTATAAGACATAGTTTTATTGTAAAAAAAAAAAAAAATGCATATGTACATATATACACATACATGTTTACACACACACATAGAGGAAGTAATATACCATTCCCCAATCCTATTCCTCTCCCAGTAGTTACTGCTTTGATAGTTTCATAGACTTTATCTAAGCATATTCACGTACAAAGATACGTGAGCCCCTGCCTACCCATATAGCTCAAGTAATACACAGTTTTGTGTGCATGGTTGCTTGCTTTTCACAAAGATATCAATGGTAACATATTATTCTGAAACTTGCTTTGTATGGTTTATCAATACATCTTGGAGATCATTCTAAGTCAGTCCATGTAGCTCTCCCTTGTTCTTTTAAACTGCTGTGTGATATTCCATTGGGAGGATACACTAGTCTTTATCTAACCATAACTCCACTGGCAGACCCCAGTGGTTTCGGACTGTTCACTGGTGTGATGGTACTGTGTCCCAGTCTGTGCTTTGTGCACATGCTGGAGTGACTCTCTAGGACAGACACCTGGGCGTGGACCTGCTGAATGGGAGTGCAGGAACATTTTAACCTGGATAATTTTTTTATTATAATCAAGGAAACGTGAGGCATCCTCCATGAAGGATGTCAATACCACAGGCCCACAGAAAGGATTGCTGCCACCCAGGATGATGGCAAGAGGTCTGTGCAGTTCATAAATGGGTGGGGCTGGGAGCAGAGGAGAGAGGGATGGCAGGGATCGATCCTTGGGGGAGACTGTAATAAAGTCACTTTGTGTCTGTATGTCTCAGTGGTGTCTCTGGGCTTATCAGTGAGCTGCCAAATACTCAAAGGCAAATGCTGCTTCTTTTTCCTTTTTTCCTCAATCTCAGTAAATTTCCTGTAGTTGATCTGAGCCCCATGAGATGGGGACAAGTCCAGATCTTTGAATAGGGGAAGAGAACATTGATAGCAACAATGTAGACAAAGCTGACTCAGCAGGCCATGCCTGAAAGTTATGGTTATTTATTAGAAATATTTCTTTAAAAAAAAGATCTCCATGTCATTCACAACCTAGTGCATGTAGGCTTTTAGAAAAATGGCTGTTTTTACCAGAAGTGTCATGATAGAAAAACATGTTTATACAAGATTGGCTAAAAGTATCTTTAGAAATGGCTCTGGTATTTTCCTGAGATGACATTCCTTGGGTAGGAACATTTGTGCCTTCATCCACCCCCACCCCCACCTTGTGAGCTATCTCCTACTTGTCCTCATTATGGGACCTATTTCAAGCTTTGACTGTTGGTGATTTCTTTTTTAAGGATAAAAACACCAAAATTAGAAACACAGAAACCTTGCTCATATCTGAACCAAGCATAAATTAACTCTGATCTAGAATAGCAAAGATCTCTTAGCAGAACTCACACTCTACAACATGCTCATTGTGGCCATCACAAGCCTTCTTGACGGGGCCCTAAGGACCAGCCTGAAGCAGAGCACCCACCACGGTGGCCCTCTGCCCAGACCACCAGTGCACCCTGGTGCCAGAGGCAAGTCCAGACTCCCTGGTCTGGCATTCAAGGCCCCCCAACTCCCTCCACCTTTCCAAGCTTACCCCCACCTCTCCTCCTGCTGGTGGGCTTCACTGATGCCCAGAGGTCTTTTTTACTGACTACAGTCCACCCAATATCTCGGCTTTCTGGCCTCTGAGCATTTGCTCATGCTGCTGCCTTTGTCTAGGACTTTCTAAGCTTTCTTTTTTTTCAGGTACAGACTCATTTCTCAGTGCCACCTCCTCTTGAAGTCTCCCTGGCCCTCTGTCTGAACTCTCTCCACTACCTCCGCCCTCTCTTAAGGCACCACTTACTTTCTCCCAGGGGCTAGAGTCTTATCTTCCCCATCAACTGTGAGCTCCCTGAGGACAGGATCACATCCCTGAAACTTTCTGAGCTCCAATGTGACACGCAAAGGAAAATACTCAGCGGAGCTTTCCAGATTTGGGATTTTCAGATTAGAGATGCTCAAGCGGTAAGTAAAGTGCAAATATTAGAAAATTTGAAACAAATCCAAATCCAAAACACTTCTGGTCCCAAGCATTTCAGGTAAGAGATACTCAACAAGCAGGCACAGTGGCTCACGCCTGTAATCCCAGCACTCTGGGAGGCAGAGGCGCGTGGAAGACCTGAACGTAAGGAGTTCAAGACCAGCCTGACCAATATGGTGAAACCCTGTCTTTACTAAAAATACAAAAATTGGCTGGATGTGGTGGTGTGCACCTGTAGTCCCAGCTATTCGGGAGGCTGAGGCAGGAGAATCGCTTGAACCTGGGAGGTGCGGAGATTACAGTGAGCCAAGATTGTGCCACTGCACTCCTGCCTGGGTGGCAGAGTGAGACTCTATCTCAAAAAAAAGAGAGAGATTCAACCTGCAATTTCTGTATCATGTCCAGGACTATCCCTACCATCTAGAAGACAAGGATTAATGAGAACTGCTGGGCGTGGTGGCTCACGCCTGTAATCCCAACACTTTGGGAGGCCAAGGCGGTGGATCACCTGAGGTCAGGAGTTCGAGACCAACCTGGCCAACATGATGAAACCCTGTCTCTTCTAAAAATACAAAAATTAGCCAGGTGCTGTGGCACGTGCCTGTAATCCCAGCTACTTGGGAGGCTGAGGCAGGAGAATTGCTAGAACCTGGGAAGTGGAGGTTGCAGTGAGCTGAGATCACGCCACCACTCCAGCCTGGATGACAAGAGCAAAACTCCATCTCAAAAAATAAGAGAACTGTCATGAGATTATGGAGAAGGATACTGGACTCCCAGGTCTCTCCTGGCTCCAGCACACCATCACCCTATGATTCACACAAAGAACCATGCTCTACCTTTCCTCTGAGATACAGCAAACTATGCAGGCGTCCCTATGTGGGGTTCTTAGCCAGATACACAGATCGCAGGCATCCTATGACCACATTGTGTATGTCCCCCAACATTTTCAGACTCATGGCGACCCTGTATTTCTTTTGTATCTCCTGTGCATCAGGAACTGTTCTAAGCCATGGGCCTTCTGGTATCCCTGGTGACAGGCAGCACATCAGTCCCAGACTTGCATTTTGTCCCATTGGTTTGACTGGCTGTGGAAGGCTGCTGAGGTTGCACACTCTACCCGGAGGCAGGCCTGTCAGCTCAGAGCTGACATGCAGGGCGTGGCTGCCAGGGAGGCAATGCTGCCTCTCTGAAGGCAAACAGCTCCCAGCCTCACCCCTCCAGCAGACCCTTTCTCCCAGACCCTGCCAGCTCCCAGGTGACTGGGTAAATGCACCGCACACCCCCTACCTCAGTGGGTCATGAAGATCAACTGTGACAGACACAAAGGTTGCCACCCCCTCCTTCCTTTGCTTTAAGAAATACAAACACAAAAACATGTCTGAGACCATGCTATTTTGTTCCTGTGCTGTACTCTTGCCAACATGTCACAATGAAGAAATGCAAGGCAAGATTTTCATCTTTATTCGTACCTGGATGCTCAGTGGCAGGGTTTTCTTCAGAGTCTTTTGAAGGACTCTGTGAAACTTTCTCAGAAGATGTGGATTCCCTTGTCTTTGTATTTGGTTCTGGTTCCAGCTTAGATCTAAAAATAAATAATTAGCAGTCAGGTATTTTATTTCCAGAACAGGATTCCTTTTTGACAACAGAAGGAGTCACATGTGACCCTGCGCTTCTGCTCCGTGTCCCTGTACTGGAGCAGTCACTGCCTCTGGGCCCAGTGACAATCCAGACACACCTCCACTGGGCACTTATCACTGGCACTGTTGCCTGTAAGGTAGAGACTGTGCACCCACTCTGCACTCGCAGCCACGGCACACTGACCAGCGTGCAGGGGAGGCTGCGGTAGGTATGTGCTGAATACTCTCCATAGACTGACACCGCGCTCAACGAACCCAGGAAGCTGGACTGATCCTCACCCAGTAGTCGACACAAATGCAAAAAGATTGCTGAATATGTTATTATTATAATATATTACACATATTATATATATATGTATATGTATATATACCCCCCATATACTATACATACCTCCCCACATATACCCACATACATATACCCACACATGTATACACAAATATATAGGCCACATATGTATACCCCCACACAAATATGCCCTACATATAAACACACCCCATATATATATACATGCATGTATGCCCCCCACATATACACACACCATGTATATACACATACTCATATATGCCCACCCACTCACATATATAAACACACACACATATATAATATAAGCAAGCTGAATTTAGCCATATATAAAGACAATAATGTATCATGACCAAATGGGATTTACCCCAGGAATACAAAGTTAGTTTAACATTTGAAAATTAATCAATGTAATAATATCCTCCCTTAACAAAAAAAGAAAAAAGCTTACATGACCATTGCATTAGATGCAGAAAAAGCATTCGAAAAAGTCAAGATCCCTCGATGATAAAAATTTTCAGCAAACTAGGAAAATAAGGTACGCAGTAAAGGGATGACTCAGCAGGTTTGTGGTGTTCAAATTGTGCACATTCCAAGGAATAAACTGGCCCTTCTTGGCTCCTGGGAGATAACCTCTAAGCTCCTAGAATATCTTGTCTGATGACAGTGTCTTTGTATACCTGGGGGCATTCCAGATAGTTTATGCTAACAGCATGATTTATGATTGGGGACCATGGGCCACTCTATCAGTGCATGGCAGACACACTTGATGGCAATTTAAGAAATGAGGGCTGCCATGTGGAGGTTGCCTGGAGGGAGGGTGGCTGAGCAAAGGCGCTTTGTAAACTACATTCTTTTTATAAGCGGCAGTGGTTCTCCTGTCCAGCCCACTGCCACTGGACTGCTCTATACATAAGTTCCCCCAAATAAATTCTGTTTTGTTCGTTGGCTCGGGGTCTCTTCTTCAGCCTCTTTGGACCAAATGCCAGCCCTAACTGAAGTTAACAGGGTCTGACATGGCCATCCGTTTGGCCTCTGGAGGGGCTGGAGACTGAGTTAACGGCTAGCATATCACATCTACATGACTGACCCCCAGTGAAAACCCTGAACACCAAGGCTCAGGTGAGCTCCCCTGATTGACAATATGGTGACACACATATTGGGAGAATTAAGTGCTGTCTATACTATTCCACTGGGAAAGGACAGCTAGAAGCTTGCACTTGGTCTCTCCTGGGCTTTGCCCTATATGCCTTTTACCTTTGGCGATTTTTATCTGTATTCTTTCACATAATAATATACCGTAACTGTGAGTATAATAGCTTTCCTGAGTTCTGTGAGTTCTTCTAGCAAATCCCTCAATAAGAAAGGAAATTTCCTTAACCTGATAAAGAGTAGCTACAAAATACCTACAGCTGACATCATACTTAATGCTGAAAATATTAAATCCTTGTCCCTTAATCAAGAGCAAGGAAAAGATGTCCCTCCTAACCACTTCTATTCAACACGGTACCAGAGGTCCAGGCCCTGGCCAGTGCAATAAAACAAGAAAGGAACAAGAAACAAAAGGCATAAAGAATAAAAAGCAAAACGATTGTTATTCACATATAGTATGATTATGTATGTAGAAAATTATATAGAATTTACAAAAAAAAGCTACTAGAACTATGTGTGAATTAATCAAAGTTGTAGACAGAAGGTCAATATACAAAAATCAATTGTATTTCTATATACCATCAATGAAAAATTGGAAAATAAAATTGACAAAATGGTATCATTTACAATCGCATTTAAAAAATCCAGGAATAAATCTAACAAAAGACGAGCAAGATGTCTACACTGAAAATAACAAAATATTGCTGAGAGAAAGAAATTTAAAACTAAAGTAAAAGACAGCCACCATGCCCGGCTGATTTTATCCTCTTTGAATTTTCTTCATCTGCAAAACGGAGGAAACACCACCTTTCTCAAAGAGTTCTTTCAAAGATGAGATGAGATTACCCATGAGAAGGTGCCTAGCATGAAGCCTGGCACACAGTAGGTGCTCCCCTGCTTCACCACTAACCTCCAGGCCTTATTAATTGTGGATAGATGTTAAGATGTCCATTCTCCCAAATTGATCTATAGATTTAACACAATCCCTATAAACATTTCATCAGATTTTCTAAAGAAACTGAAAAGCTGATTCTAAAATCTATATGGAAATATACAAAAAATCTAAAATAGCAAAAACAATACTGAAAAATCAGAAATTTGAAGGATTTACAACCAGCTGATTCCAAGACTGATAATAAAACCGCAGTAATCAAGACAGTGTGGCAGTAGAATAAAGACAATCAGACCAATGAGACTGAATAGAGTCCAGAAACAGACATGCACATGTTTGGTGAACTGACTTCTGAGGATGCTGCCAGGTCAATTCAATGAGAAAAGGAAAGTGTTTTCAACAAACATTGGTAGAATACATAGATATTTATACAGAATAAAATAAACTTCAACCCCATCTCTTCTTTCAAAACATTGGTCTGAGACAGACAACAGACCACCCAGAATTATAAGGAAAACATAAAAGAGTATCTTAGTGACAATGGGGTGGACAAAGTAAAAATTAATAAAATTCAACTTCCTCAAAATTAAACATTTCTGCTTACCAAGAGACACCATTAAGAAAATAAGTAAGCCATAGAATAGGAAAAAATATTTGCAGCATGTATCTAAAGATGTGTATGCCGAATATATAAAGAACTCCTATACAAATCAACAACAAAACAATCCTCCAATACAGAAATGAGCAAAAGAATTGAGCAGATACTTCATAGAAGCAAATGAATGGTCAATCAACACATGAAAAGGCGATTAACATTATCAGTGAGTGAGGAAATGGAAACTAAATCCACAATGAAATACCACTCCACAGCCAGCAGAATGGCCAGAAAAAAGGGGCAACACCAAATCCTGCCATGTGGAAGAACTGCAACTTTCATACATTACTGGACAGTGTGTCAAATGGTACTATCACTTTGGAGAAAGGACAGTTTCTTACTAAGTCTAAGAAACATCTCTACTATGACAACCCACTTTTTTTTTTTTTTTTTTTTTCAGGTGGAGTCTCGTTCTCTAGCCCAGGCTGGAGTGCAGTGGTACTATCTTGGCTTACTGTAACCTCCGCCTCCAGGGTCCCAGTTCAAGCAACTCTCCTACATCAGCCTCCCAAGTAGCTGGGATGACAGGCACGACCCACCATGCCCAGCTAATTTTTGTAGTTTTTAGTAGAGACAGGGTTTCACCATGTTGGCCAGTCTGGTCTTGAACTCATGACCTCGTGATCCGCCTGCCCCGGCCTCCCAAAGTGTTGGGATTACAGGCATGAGCCACCACACCCAGCCAACAACCCACTTTTAAGTTGTTTACCCAAAGGAAATGGAAAGATAGGTCCACACGAAGGCCTATAAGAGAATGTTTATAGCAGCCTTATCCATTATAGCCAAAAAATGGGAACACGTGAATGTCTACCAACAGAATAGATGAGCCAGTGGAGGCGCTTTCACGCAATGCAATACCATTCAGCAATGAAGAAGAATGCAGCAAGAGTACGTCTCAAAAAAAATGTGTTAAGCAAAGGAAAAAAAGCCAGTTAAAAACATAACTTAAAAAAGAAACTATTTAAAGATAACCTGAGAATTTACTCCATGTTTGAGACTAGGCACATACATATAATTATTAAATTTAGCATCTATTACTTAATATTTTACCTCAATTATTAGTTTTGGGATGTAGGAATTGAGCAACCTGACATATCAGCAAATTGTCAAAATAGCTTGACAAGACATTCAACTGCCAAAATTTTCCGTTTTTTCCAGTTGCTAAATGACAAATAACAAAATTTCTTAGCCTGCTTTCCCACCTATGAAATGGGGCTCTGACTATCTTTCTTGTTAAGAGTTACTGGTTTATATATAAGTGCTTACCCAGCACAGTCTATAGCACATAGTAAGAGCTCAAAAACTTAGCTGTTACTACGATGGCACTGCTGCTGCTGCTATCATCACTGAAATAACAAAAGGCAGAATGGTTTAAGAAGACAATTTTTTTGTGAAGTCTTAAAGCAACATACATTTTTTTTTCCTCTGACAAGATGCAGACCAATGTAGGAACAGAAGAAAACTGCTGAAACAACTCATAAATAATTCAAATAATTCAGAGAAAAGAGTATACTGTACAATCAGTACAAGAGACTCAGGGTCTTCAGTGCTGGCCCAGCTAGCTGCTGATCTTCTGGCTGGCACCATGGAGGGGAAGGACTGAAGGAGCCCTGGCAGAGGAGCAGGGAGTGGCCTGGGGTGGTAACCAAAGGCTACCCGAGTGGTGGGGGGCTTTCTCCTTGGCCACATTGCACAGAAGACTGACCTGATGCCCTCCCAGACTGTCTTGACTGTCAGGTTACTCCAGCAATTCCACAAATCCCTGACAGTCTGGAGATGACAGTCCTTAAATCCCTGGTTGACTGACTACCTTGAAAAAGGCACATTTAGAAATGGAATTTGGAGACAGCGAAGGGCTTAAGTTCTAGAATGCTACTTATTTTCAGTATGACTTTGGATGTGTTTTACTTTATCCTCTTTTTTCTGGACAGAGTCTGACTCCATC